AAAAAAAAAAAAAAGATACCACAGCTGCAGTTCCCCTGCCCCCTAGTTGCTCCAGCGGGGCTGAACTAGGATTAATCTAGCCACTGCAGTTTCCCTGTCCCCTGTTTGCCCCGACAGGGCCTAACTAGGACTGACCCAGCAGGGCAAGTTCCCAGCACAGCCGCTGCCATTCCCCTGCTCCCCAGTTGCCCCAGCAGGGCCGAACACCATTCTCTGCTCCCCCCCCATTGCCCCTGCGGGGCTGAAGTAGGACTGATTCCACCAATACTGTGCTCCACAGCTGCTGTCATTCCCCTGCCCCTTGGCAACCCCAGTGGCCAAATTAGGACTGATCCGGCTACACGAGCACCCCACACCATTGCTGCAGGTCCCCTGCCCCCTAGTCACCCCCTTGGAGCCAAACTAGGCCCAATCCAGCCACTGCCAGTCTCCTGCTCCCCCTGGTCGCCCCAGCAGACCGAACGAGGTCTGAGCCAGCTACACATGCTCCCACACAGCTACTGCCATTCTGCTGCATCCCAGTCACCCCAGCTCCTGAGAACTGGGAGAAGATGACATGCCCTGTCTCTCTGGGTAACCAGAAGAAGCCACTGGCTGAACACTTCTGATAAGGTCTCCAAACAGGGTAAACTCAGCATGGGGCAGAATCAGCGGAAAAACTCTGGCAACCTGAATAACCAGAGTAGATCAACTCCCCCAAGGAAAAATGGGGCAGATGCAATTGAAGACACCATCCATAAACAAATGGCTGAGATGTCAGAAATTGAGTTCAGAATTTGGATAGTAAATAAGATTAACAGAATGGAAGAAAGGAGGGAATTAGAATTTCAAGAAATGATTTGAAAGATATCTGAAGAAATTATTCAAAAGATGTCTCAAAGATTTCAAAGATAAAATGACCAAAGATTTTGAAACACTGAGACAAGAGGTTGCAGCCCTCAAGGATCTGAAAGATATGGTAGAATCCCTCCATAACAGAGTGGAATAGGCAGAAGAAAGGATCTCTGACATTGAAGACAAAGCTTTTGAACAAGCCCAGGAGCACAAATATCAAAAGAAATGGAGAGCAAAAATGTATCTTTCTCTCAGAGAGCTCTCGGATAATTAGAAAAAAACTAATATTTGCCTTATAGGAAGCCCTGAAGGTGATGAAGTTGCTTCACAAAACACAGAAGCTCTTCTTCATGAAATTATGAAAGAGAACTTTCCAGACATGCCAAGAGATTCTGAAATTCAGATAGCAGATAGTTTTAGAACCCCACCATAACTCAACCCAAACAAGACGTCCCCCAGGCACATTATAATTAACTTCACCAAAGTTAAGATGAAAGAGAAAATTCTGAAAGCAGTCAGACATAAGAAAACCATAACCTACACAGGGAAGAGTATTAGGATGACTGCAGATCTCTCGGCTGAAACCTTTCAGGCCAGAAGAGGATGGTCATTGACTTTTAATCTTCTAAAACAAAATAACTTTCAAC